GGAATGGAAACTCCAGCGTGATCGTCCGTTTTCGGCTCCGCTTCGCCCCGCAGGACTCCCAGGCCCTGAGCTCCACCTTGGAGGAGGAAGCTCTCAGACATGGGCTGGCAGCTGCCCTGCCCCATCAGGGGCTCTCCCTGGCTGACTATGGGACCATCTCCTCAGCTTCTCTTACAGGTGAGCTCCTCCTGTGCCTGGGTGCTCTGTGCTGGGGCTGCTGCCACCCAAGGTCACCCAGCAGAGCCACTACCTCTGTCTCAGAGCACACAACTCCCATAGGGCTTTAGCTCGAGACATTCAGCCAAGGCTTTGTGCCCAGAAATGGGAGTCCTGAGTCCCAGCTGCTCCAGACAGCAGCAGAAACCAGCCTGGATCTTGGCTGCTGCCCAACAGATATGTGGGGGGTGCCCAAATCCCTCTCCAACACTAACACTGTCCTGCTGCTCTGCCCTGCAAGAGCAGCTCGAAGGGCCCACGGCAACCACAGAGCCTAAAGCATGAAGTGCAGCCTCTTTGGCTTTTCTTGCAGCACCTGAAACCAGCCCAAGGGCCTGAGGAGGTTAATTGCTGGTTGTCTGGCAGTCCTCAGAGCTGTAGCAATAATTCCAGCTTAGGTAGATGCTTCTCATATTTGACTTACTCTCCAAAGCACCTGACAAGAAATTCTCCTTTCCTTCAATGACTGTTGAGTCACATCTGACCACAGGACTCCAGGTCAGGTGGATTTAAAACAAACATGTGCCTGGGGAGCTCCTCTGAGCTCCCTCAGCCACCACGGGCAGGGTCCCTGCATCTTTCTTCGGGAGCCTTGTGCAGCCCAAATGGAGAGTGCACAAACTCCCCTTGGCTTTAGGCAACAGCCCTGCATAGCTGCAGCTCAGAAATGTGGGAGGCAGCTCACTGCCACAGCTCAGGGAATTTCTCCCTGCACCTGCAGTCACTCCCAGGCTGTAGCAGCTGCTCCTCCCCTGCTCCGTGGTGGAGTGAGTGTCCCCATCAGGGGCTGCTGGCCATGGGGCAAGGCAAGGGATCTCCAGGTGGGAGGAGAAGATGCAGCAAAGCCTGTGGCAGCCCCAGCCTGGGGACAGCACAGCTCCAGGGCTCCTGGCTGGGCTGCCCTAATTCCCACTCCTTCTGCTTTGCCACAGGTCCCAGCAAGGTTTCTTCCCACAGACCTGGGCTGAAATCAGGTAAGAGCCAGGCAGCAGGGAGAGTCACCTGCACTCTGCAGCCTGACCTGAGCCTCCTTCTCTTGCTCCTCAGCAGCCTGGCTGAGGCATTTGGGCCACATCTTGTTCCTAGCCTCATGGCCCAGGGACCTGCACCCTTTTCTCTCTCTACAAGAGGGACAAGAGCTCGACAAGAGCTGCAGCTCTGCTCCCAGCACCATCCTGCAGGGACTCTTGCCCTGCCAGGGAGCAGAGTGACAGGAACACCACAGTCCCAGGGAGCTCCTGAGAGGGCTGCAGAGTGACTCCAGGTTTGCTGACCCCAGGGAGCTGCCCTGGAGATTCACTTGTCACAACACCCAGTGCATGTGGAAAGAAACCCTGAATGCAACAGCCAAACAGGCTGTGCTGATGCCTCTGATGGAAGGGGCTGTGAGTCCCTCTCAGCAGCTCTCCTGGACATGGGGGACAGGCCACAAGCCACTGCTGCAGCCCCTGACAGGTGTGACACCACTGGTACTGAAAGGGACAGAGCAAAACTTTTCAGACCAACAGTAAACACCTGTGCCCTGGAAGTTCTTTAGTCCCACCACCAACTGCAAAGGGTCATGCCAAGACCCATCTTCATACTGGGCTGGCACCATGGCCACATCCCCAGCAGGGAGCAGATCACGAGGCAGTGACTGAGCTCATCAAACGAGTCCGAATGCTTCTCCCCAAATTTTCTTGCTCTAGAAGTTTCAGAGAAGATGCTGTGATGGGTCAGTGCTTTGCAGTGCTCTTTCCAAACCTGCAGGTTAATGCCCCAGGACATCCTGGCACCATCCTGGTGCTTGAGCATGTGCTGGGAGCACACGTGGAGCTGAAGCAGCTTTTCCCTGCTGCCCCCAGATTGTGTGGACCCTGACATTCCCTCTCTGCTCCTTTCCAGACTGTGGGAGCCGCCCTGCCATGCAGACTGCCAGCAGGATAGTGGGAGGCTCAGAGGCATCCCGAGGGGAGTTCCCATGGCAAGTCAGTCTGCGGGAGAACAACGAGCACTACTGCGGCGCCGCGATCCTCACGGAGAAGTGGCTGGTGTCTGCTGCTCACTGCTTCACCGAGTAAGCTCTGCTCACAGAGCCTCAGCCCTCAGCCCTTGCCAAGGGTTGGCACGTCGAGGCAGCACAGTCAGGTGTAGAACACGTCGTATAAGGAAGAGCTGAGGGAGTTGGGTTTGTTTAGCCTTCAGAAGAGGCTCAGGGGTGACCCCATGGCTCTACAACTCCCTGACAGGGTTGGAGAGAGGTGGGGGATGTCTGTCCTGCCATGGACTAGGGGGAATGGCCTTGAGCTGAGCCAGGACAGAGTCAGATTGGATGTTAGGAGAAATGTTTTCCCTGTCCTGTTCAGGCACTGGGATATTGCCCAGGGAGGTGGTGGAGTCACCATCCCTGGAGGTGTTTAAGAGGTGTCTGGCTCTGGCACTGGAGTATCTGGTTTAGGAGTTGCAGCAGTGACAGGTTAATGGTTGGACTTGATGATCTTAGAGTTCTCCTCCAACCTTGACGACTCTCTGATCTGCTCAAGCTGCACCACACTGCTCCATCACACCTGGTTTCCTTCCCCAGTCCCTGGGAGCCCCAGAGAGCACAGAGTCCCAGAGCAGATGCCTTGGGTGATGCTGTGGCTGCAGGTCCCCACGGTCCCTGCTGTGTCTCCCTCAGGTTCCAGGACCCAGCCATGTGGGCAGCTTACACGGGCACCACCTCCCTGCGAGGCTCCGAGAGCGGCGCGGTGAAAATGGGCATTGCCCAGATCATCCCCCACCCCCTGTACAACGCCGACACGGCCGACTACGACGTGGCTGTGCTGGAGCTGAAGAGGCCTGTGACCTTCACCAAGTACATCCAGCCCGTGTGCCTGCCAGATGCTGGCCACCACTTCCCCACCAGAAAGAAGTGCCTCATCTCGGGCTGGGGCTACCTCAAGGAGGATTTCTGTAAGCAGAGCAGATGTGGTGGGGTGTGAGTGGGGCAGGAGGCACCAGGGAAGGGAACTAGGCCCCACAGGGCTGGGCTGGGCTGGCTATGGGCCACTGGTCCCTGCACTGAGCTCACACTCATGTCTTTCTCGTTCAGTGGTGAAACCTGAGTTCCTGCAGAAAGCCACAGTGGAGCTGCTGGATCAGAACCTGTGCTCCAGCCTCTACAGCCACGTCCTCACAGACAGGATGATGTGTGCTGGCTACCTGGAGGGGAAAGTTGACTCCTGCCAGGTAAGCTTTGCCCGGGGAAGCTGACACACCTTTCTGCAGGAGTCTGTTCCCTCCCAGTGTGCACCAAGCCACACTTCGAGCAGCACATCTGACACTGTGGGCACCCCCAAGGTTTGAGGCCATGCCTTGGACCCAAGCATGGATCAGGCACTGCAGAAGACATAATCAAAGATGTTCTCTAGTGCTTAGGGCCTGTTAAGGGGCTCTTTTGGCTAACTAACTATTGTACTTGCTGAGCTGTAACCAGGGCTGGGCCTATCAAAGTACCAGGGCCAAAATCAAAATCCAGATGGCACTGCCAGTGTCACAGACACCACACATCCATCAGGGACACTCACAGGGCCCCACAATACCAAAGCACTGACCAGGGAACCACAGGCCCAATCAAGCAAACCTGATGCCAAGAGGAGCGTGGGCTCCCTGGGCTGTGAGCCAGCAGGAACATCCATCATCTGCTGGTCAGGGGCTGCCAGGCCTAACCTTCAAGAGCAGCCATTTAACACGTGATTTAAGCAGTAGATTTACCCTAGATTTTATAGAGGATGCTCTTGTGCTCTTCTGGCATATCAAGGGCACCAGGCTGAACAGCAGGACTGTGCCCACACAGAGCAGCCAAACTGGTGTGGGAGGTGCTTTGCTCATCACTAGGTTGGAGCAAACGTGAAGAGAGCTGGGATACAGAGGGACAGAGAGATCCCAGATGGCAGAGGGGTGCTGAGGGTGGGCAGTGCACCCCCAGGGAGAGCTCACCATCTGCCTTCTCTTGCAGGGTGACTCTGGTGGGCCCCTGGTGTGCCAAGAACCATCTGGCAGGTTCTTCCTGGCAGGAATCGTGAGCTGGGGAATTGGATGTGCTGAAGCCAGGAGGCCTGGGGTTTACACACGTGTTACCAAGCTCAGAGATTGGATTTTGGATGCTATTTCTCCCCTCCCCACCTCCATAGCCCACAATGTCCCTCCAGTACACTCCAGTACTACCAGTGACATGGTCAGGGCTGAAGAACTCAACACCAGTCCCAGAACCTCAGCAGCCCCAGGTGCCAGCAAGCCAGTGACTGCAGTGAGACCACAAGGTATGAGGTCCATCCTGGCAGGTCCAAATGTCAGGTTTGTTCTTCACTCCATGGGGTGAGCCACACAACCTCTGCCTAAGTGCTGAGGGCCAAGGCACAAGTGACACTCTCTGGTTGCCCCAGAGCAGCCTGGCAAAGACACTCAGTACTGCACAGTTCCATGAGCTTTTTTGCTTCTGTGACTGACTGTGCACTCCTCAGCCCTAACCTGTCCCTGCTCAGACCTACAGGTTAGAGAGAGCAAAAGCCTCTCCTTGCTTGTCTTGTGTGAGGAGCACTCACAAGTCATGCTTTGGCTTTTGTTCAGAGTGTGGAGGACGACCTGGGTTCTCCAAGCCCAGCAAGATCGTGGGAGGAACAGATGCTTCCAGAGGAGAGATCCCCTGGCAAGTCAGCCTGAAAGAATACTCAAGCCACTTCTGTGGAGCCACCATCATCGGGGACCGCTGGCTGCTGTCAGCAGCTCACTGCTTCAATGAGTAAGAGCCCATCCCTGCCCATGCTGCTGTGCAGAGCTGCCAAACCCACACTGTGGCACTGGGGAGAACAAGAACACAAGTTGGGCATTAGTTTTTGGGTTGACGTGGGGGTTAAAAAAATATCCTAAAACACAAGTTTAGAAAAATCAAAATCTCCAAATCCATAAAGACCTAGTGAATATAGAGACACCATCTGAGTGCCAGAACCTCCCTGAGAGCACTAATTTCTGGAGGTGAGGAGAGGATGGAGAGGATTGTTACTACCTGTTTCCTTGCTCTTCAGGAGACATCCCACAGGGACCACTGATGGAAACAGTTCCCTGGGCCTGACTGAGCAGGGTGGCTGTGCTGTGTGCTGTCTGCAGGCTCAGGGGCAGGACTCATGCCAGGGGATATGTGCAGGCACACGTGTTTAGGAGTGTGTATTTGCAGGACAGACCCAGAGGAGATCGAAGCCTACGTGGGAACAACATCCCTGAACGGCACAGAGGAGGATGCAGTGAAAGTCAATGTGACAAGAGTGATCCTACATCCCCTCTTCAACCCCATGATGCTGGACTTTGATGTGGCTGTGCTCGAGCTGGCAACACCTCTCACCTTCAACAAATACATCCAGCCTGTGTGCCTCCCACCTGCTGAGCAGAACTTTCCTGTGGGCAAGAAGTGCCTCATTTCTGGCTGGGGGGACCTCCAGGAGGGCAATGGTAAGCAGTGGTGTGTGACCTGTGACACCCTGAGCAGCACAGCCTGTGCCACGGTGACCCACAGTGCTGGGAGTGGGCAGGGACTGATAGAAACACAGGACTCAGCAAGAAAAAAGGGGGGGTGGGCTCTTCTCTCAGGCAACCAGCAGCAGGACAAGAGGGCACAGACTCAAGCTCTGCCAGGTGAGGGTTAGGTTGGATATTAGGAAGAGATTTTTTACAGAGAGAGTGCTCAGGCATTGGAATGTGCTGCCCAGGGAGGTGGTGGATTCACCATCCCTGGAGGTTTTTAAGCTGAGACTGGATGTGGCACTTAGTGCCATGGTCTGGTGACCACAGTAGGGTTGGACTCGATGATCTTTGAGGCCTCTTCCAACCTGGTTGATTCTCTGATTCTATGACACAGAACACTGCCTTAAACTGCAGTTATTTAGGAGTCACCAGCACACAGGAAAATGGAGAGAGCAGCTTGGTGGGAACCAGGACTGTTCCTGTTGAGATTTGAGCCTGTTTTCCCAATATGTGCTGGGGCATTCCAAAAGCTGTTGGTTCCCACTCCTCTCTGCTGCACTCACTAATCCCATGGTTTTCATGCAGGCACCAAGCCTGAGACCCTGCAGAAAGCCTCTGTGGCCATCATAGACCAGAACACCTGTGACTTCCTCTACAACTTCTCCCTCACCGACAGAATGATCTGTGCTGGATTCCTGGAGGGGATGGTAGACTCCTGCCAGGTAAGAGTGTGGGATTTCTTGGCTCCTCTGTGGATTGTTCCAGAAAATTGGGCTAGGCTACCTCTGCCTCAGCACATCCCTGTGAACTATTTCCTGAGCTGCTGTGGCCAAGCTGTGTGATTCACATGTACCTTAGCACAACACCCAATCCCACTGCCTTGGATCTTAAAGCTCCACCAAGTTGTGCATGACTTAACCCAACATCCCAGCACTCTGGCCAGATGAAGCAGGTCTCTGGTGGCAGTGAGACCCTGGCAGTTGGTGGTGGCTGTGGAAAGGTGCTGACAGGAGCTAGGAATGCTCATGGCAAATGCCACCTGTGTGTGTGCAGCCAGGTTGAGCCAGCGACCCTAGTTTCAGCCTGATGCCTCACACACACACTGCACAGCAGCAGACAGACCCACAGGGCTGCAGAAAGCCTGGGGGTAGCTAAGTCCTGGTGTGGCTGAGGGGCAGGTCCATGTAGACCTGTCTGGGGGAGATTGGACTGAGCAGCCATTGCCTTGCTTCTTCCACAGGGAGACTCAGGTGGGCCCTTGGCCTGTGAGGTGACTCCAGGAGTGTTCTACCTGGCTGGCATTGTGAGCTGGGGCATTGGCTGTGCCCAGGCTATGAACCCTGGTGTGTACTCCAGAGTCACCAAACTCACAGACTGGATCCTGGACACTATCTCCCAGTTGCCCAGTCCTGGCACAGGCATCCCTTCCAGTTCAGCCACCACGAGAACATCCACCACAGCCACCACCCAGCCCAGCACAACAACTGCAAGTCCAGTCAGGAAAACCACGGTGGGAATGAACACAACCATGAGTGAAACCTCCACAGCTCTGAGAACAACTGAGCCTCCCAAGCCCCCCCATGCCCCAGGTAAAGCTGACAGATGTACTGACATGGTGGTAGGAGAACTCCATCCCAGCACAGAGGGTGCTGAGCAGACCATGGGTTATTGCCTTCCAGTGGTGCCTTGTACCAGCTCCACCTTCTCGTGCTCCAGCAAGGTGTGTATTGGGAAAGAGAACCCTGAGTGTGATGGTGTTGTGGACTGCAGCAACGGCTTCGACGAGCACGACTGTGGTGAGTCCTGCTCTGCATCACCCAGACAGTGCCACCCACCACATTCCCATGGGCTGTCCTGGGCCCCACGCTGGACACTGCAGGGCTGGGCCAACCCACTGTGGTCCAGGTCCTACCTGCTGTGCCAGAGCCTAAACCAAGATAAAGCTGGATGAGCCTTCCTTGACCTTTCAAAGCAGGGTCTAAATTTTCTGCCAGAAAAATGTGGCTTCTTTCCCTCTGCTACAAACAGAACCATTTCCCAGCTCATCAGCCCTCTGGCCAGTCAGTCTAGTAGCACAAGATGGCAAGACAGCTCTGCACAAAGTAGCAGCCCAGAAAATGTCTTGTCATCCCTGGACTGTACATTCCTAGCTGTGGGACAACTCAGCCAGTCCAGCCAAACGTTCCCTTCTCACAAAGCTCATCCCTGGAGGGTGTGATCTGTGACAAGATCACTGTTAGGTTGTTCAGGCACTGGAATAGGTTTGTCCAGGGAGGTGGTGGAGTCACTATCCCTGGAAGTGTTTGAGGCATCTGGATTTGGAGCTGGAAGACATGGTTTAGGGTTTAGGGATTACAGCAGTGACAGGTTAATGGTTGGACTCGATCTCCTCCAACCTTGATGACTCTAACAAGTTCCCAAACCATACCCTGCGTGCCAGACATACTCCTTGGCTCAGCTGAGTGGACTCCATCACATCCTACACGGGATATGCCCTGTGCATGAGATGTGCCCTGTGCATGTCCCCTAGGAAGGCTGTCCCACGGCACAGGCTGAGGAAGGCAGGCAGATTCCTTTCACTTATGGTCACTTAAACCCGTGGTGCTTCTCCCTCTGTCCCAGACTGTGGCTCCACAGCTGCTCTGGCCTCCAGCAAGATCGTGGGAGGCAGCAGTGCATCTCGAGGAGAATGGCCCTGGCAGGTCAGCCTGTGGCTGCGGCGGAAGGAGCACAAGTGTGGGGCTGTCCTCATCGCCGACCGCTGGCTGCTCTCTGCAGCTCACTGCTTCGACATGTAAGTCTCAGCTGGGCTACTGAAGCCACCTGGCTCTTGGCCTCGGCCCCACCAGCCCACCTGCCCTTCCCCTCCATCACATTTGGCATCCTCGGCCGGGATGCTGTGCCCCAGGGGACACACACACTCCCTGTGCCCCAGGGGACACACACACTCCCTGCCACAGATGTGCCCCTGCAGGTAAGCGTGAAGAGGAAGGAGTGGAGCAAGGCCTGGGATGCCCAGTGTGCTGGACACAGGGCTCTTGGCCTCCCCAGGTGTGGCCAGAGCACATCCCAGCCCCACCAGTGGAGGTCTGGCCCTCCCGGTGAGGCCATGCCCCTAACAGCCAGGTTTGCTGTCTTTCTGCAGTTACAGTGACCCCAAAATGTGGGTGGCCTTTCTAGGAACCCCCTTCCTGAGTGGCACGGATGGCAAGATGGAGAAGATATTCCGTATCTACAAGCATCCCTTCTACAACGTGTACAGCCTGGACTACGACGTGGCACTGCTGGAGCTCAGCACACCCATCAGGTTCACCAGCACCATCAGGCCCATATGTCTCCCAGCCAGCACACACGTCTTCCATGAAGGGGCCAGATGCTTCATCACAGGCTGGGGCTCCACAAAGGAAGGAGGTACTGCCTGGTAGGGCCCTGTCACACCCGTGATGGCCAAGCTCAGTGCCACTCACCCTGTAAGCCACCAGTTCCCACATCACTGCTCCAAGCACTCCCCGTGCCAGGCTGGACCCTGCAGGAGATACCAAGCTGGGCAAGGCCTGGTGTCACCACCATCTCCTCCCCAGCTGCCAGGCACTGTACTTTGGTCACACCTCTGCCCTCCTGCAGCCTCCCCAAGCTCTCAGGCACTGTGCTCCCCATCACACAGCAGCTGCTCCAGCCATGCTCCCGCAGCGCAAACACCACCCTGGTACCATTTGTCAGCACTGCTGCCTGACACACTACATGTCCCAGGGACCTTCCTGTGCTTGCTCTGCTGGGGAGGATCCAGGCCTGGCTCACTTGCCCAGAGCAGGTCTCTTCCCCCTGGCAGCAAGTGAGGCCACAGGGTCTAACCTACGTGTGCTCTGCACCAGCTAACAGCAAGACTTGTCTCCTCAGGTACCATGGCAAAGCACCTGCAAAAAGCAGCAGTGAATGTGATTGGAGACCAGGCCTGCAAAAAGTTCTACCCTGTGCAGATCAGCAGCAGGATGGTGTGTGCTGGCTTCCCTCAGGGCACCGTCGACAGCTGCTCAGTGAGTGTGGGACCAGCAAACTGTGGCTGAGGGTCACAGCAAACTGTTCCCCCAGGAGGGTCCTGCTCTGCCTCCCCTAGCTCAGCTGTCTGTCCATCCATCACCTAAAGGCTGTTGCCTTTATCCGTGTCCATCCTGCAAGCACCTCGTGCTGCTTGTCCCACACACCAGGTCAGGGAAAAGCACACAGAGAGACCTCAGGGATAGCATGGAGCCTGTTCCATGACCCTGCTGTACCTCCAAACACACTCCTGCATGTTCCAGAACCCCAACCTCAGACTGTGCATGCAGGTGCAGCCCTGAGCAGTCCTCAGCTTGGCCTGGGGCTCCTGGAGAGGGGAGAACAGGTCATGTCCACGTCCCAGAGAGAAGGAACATCTCACAGCTGGGGAGCTGCAGTGCCTCTGGCTTGACACTGGACCCTTCTGCTCTCTCTGCAGGGTGATGCAGGTGGACCCCTGGCGTGTAAAGAACCCTCAGGGAAGTGGTTTCTGGCAGGAATCACAAGCTGGGGCTATGGCTGTGCCAGGCCATACTTCCCTGGTGTCTACACCAAAGTCACAGCTGTCCAGGGCTGGATTGTGCAGAACCTCAAGCTCTGAAGCTGCATTTCACCACTCAGGGAAGGCTGTGGACGAGGAGTGACAGAGGAGGCACTAACCCCTCAGCTGTGGTACTTTTTCTGATGCTGCAAAGGGGTGAAGATGGCCTTGCAGGTACTAAGCAAATGCCAATGTGTGTGACCTGCTGGGTGTGCCACCAGGGCATTTGGTAACTGCTTTGCATAGAAAAGTACAAATTTTAGCCATTTTCTATAAATAAATGAGGCCTGTCCCATCCTAAGACTTGGCCAAACATCCTAAGCATTAATCCTGATCTTTTTGTTGAAGAGGTGCCTGAAACATCTGCCAGAGGCTCACTGAGTCTGGCTGACCTTTGCCTGTGAACTGCCATTCCAAAGCCAAGCCAAGAGACCAGTGAACTTCACCCCAGCCCAGAGTTCTGCCCCTGCAGAAGCCTCAGACCTTACCACACCGATGTTGTGCTGTGCAGTGGCTTGGGGAAGGGTTTGCTGCTGCTGCCACTCAGTGTGTGGGACTGGAGAGCTCAGTGGTGACCTCCTGCCTCACCATTCGGCCCCAAGAGAAGACAGGACTAGAACACTTGGGAGTTCAGACTGCACAGGCCCTCACCTGTACTAGAGCACCAGGACAGGCTTCCCACACACCCTCCAGCTCCTTTTGCCTAAGGGAACAGGTGATTAAACTGACAAAGACTAAGACATGGCCACACTGTTCTGGTTAAGGCAGGAGGGAAAAACTCAAAGTGCTGAGATAGTGGCACAAGTATACAAGTTTGGTTGTTGTGGTTAGCACAAGGCATGGAGACACCTTTGTTCACAAAAGAAAAGCAGCTGCAGAGCTCATGTGCTGAGCCTAGAAACCTCCCCAGAGATTCAGCCACCAGAACTGAACAGCTGCTCATACCCCAAACCCCTTCCTCAGTTTTGGTGTTTAAGCTCTGCATCTGAGCATAGCAAGAGGTCTCTCCTGTCCCAGCTGGCACTGAGATCCACCACCTTCCCAACCAGAGCACCAGCAAGGTGGGAGACCCTCAGGCATTCAGATCCATGGCTGGAATACCTGTGGGCTGCTCCCAGCACTGCAGTGCTACACACACAGTGCCACAGAAATCACACAGCCATAAAGGAAAGCAAAAAGGCCCCTAAGCCAACACAGCTGAAAGCACTTTATTTTCAAGGAGTCATTCTGTGCCATCTGGAAGGGAAACTCCAGTTTGAGTATGTTCAAACACCCAGTGATCTCCTCATAGTTCACCTTGTGTGAGAGCACTTTAGTCCCTTCAGAGAAACCACCATACTGGAGATTAAATGAGATCAGGTTCTCTCACATCCCTCTCAATGTCCTAGCAGATATGGAGACATCACCCAGTGTGTGTCTCTGTGCCCCAGCACACTGTGCCATCCCTCACAAAATACAGAACAGCTTCAAAGGAAGAGATCTCAAAACATCTCTCCACGGGGTCATGGGCACTGTTAATCTCCAACAACTCTCCTCCTCCAGCTGCTGCACACACTGCTGAGAGCACAGCACAAACCCACCCTGCCAGGAGAGGTGTGTGAGCTGAGCCCCAGCACAAAGCCACGTCCTCTGCTGCAGACCTGCTCTCCCCTCAAAAAAACACCTGCAGAAGATTGATGTGAGCTGAGCCCCAGCACAAAGCCACATCCTCTACTGCAGACCTGCTCCTCCCTCAAAAAAACACCTGCAGAAGGTTGGTTTGAGGTAGAAATGCCTGTGCCAGAGCCCAGCCAGAAGTCACAGAGCATCACAGCCACACAAGGTGCTTTATTCTACACAGAAATAAAGTACTACCCAACGCTGTTCCCAACCCAGCTGTGCTTGCACCACACTCTGCCAGGCTGTTGGAGCCTCAGCTTCTGTGCTGGGGCAGAGCCAGAGCCTGCAATGCCCAAAGTGAGCCCCACACACAACTCTAGGGGCACGAGGGAAGCAAGAACCAAAGTGGCACATGGAGCAGCTTTTCCACTGATGAGAAGGGATGGAGTAACTACCTGCTGGCTGGCTCCGTGCTGGAATCCTGGCCAAGGGCACTCTCAGCAGGGATTTACCGACAGCCTCGGCCAGTCTGGAGCGCTGGGAAGGGCAGGAGGTGGCAAACTCCCTGCTGGGGCCGGTGGTAATAAAAGCCACTGGATGCGAAAGGTTGAGCGAGGGTTTATTGCCGCGTGGGGCAGGGAGCGCCGCGGCTCGTCCCTCCCGTCACATGTTGGCTCTCTCCCGCTGCAGCCGCGAGTTGT